TACACTTCTACTGAGAACATGCCTAATCGGTGCAGACTATTCCATCGTACATCTGACTCATTAATGGTTTAATTTTGGAACAATGTTCGACTTTTTATGTCATTACTCCAATTGTTGAATGTCAATATGACATGTATTGTCTGTCTATTCAATAGCAGGCCCAATTAATGACCCCAAAAGGCCAATTATCAAAATTTCAAGGAGGATCATGAGATTTAGATGGATCGTGTAGTAGAATTGATTTGTGTTCATATTGTTTTAAATCTGTTATATGTGTACATTTATTAAAGTAAGTATCGTTTTTTTTAAAGATTTTAAGAAATGTTGTTTTTCTTAGAGATTTTAAGTATCTGCGAGGTGTGTTGTTGTTGTCTAATTTTTTTTAACATATATTATTTTGTAATATTTGAAATTATTTAAAAAAAATCTCTTGAATGTTTTGTTTTAAGGAGAAAGTCGAGAAGTTGAATGATTTAAAATGAACAATACTTTAAATATTGGTATGGATTGATTTTAGGGTAGAGTATATAAATGGTCTTGCGATAATAGGATGTTGTCTTGTTAAGTCTGTTGACTATTAAAAGCTACAAAATGATCATCTGATTACATGATATTATTTTGTTGAGTCTCTCGACTATTAAAAGTTATAAAATGGTCATTCGACTATTAATATGTCTAAACTCGTCCATTTCTGTTAAAAATTAATGAAAATATGAGATTGACGTTAATTTGATGTCCGAGATAAGTTAAAATTTTATCCCTAAATCTCAAACGACTATCATATTTCACTCAACATGTTAACGTCTGGTTCAGAAGACTGCCAATTTTTTATCGAAAAATGTTAAATTTAGAACATATGAATTGTCGTGTGACCATTTTATAAATTTTAATAGTAGACGTGCTCAATAAAGCAACATCCTATAATTGAAGATTATTTGTGTACTTTATCCTTGATTTAATGATTAGACCAAAGACTATAATGACAGCAATTATTCTCCTAATCTTGGATTCTTTTTGAGTTTTTGCAGTAATGTAAGCTGCTTATTTGACAGGGTCATAAATGGATAAAGTCAAGCCTCGTTTTGTGTTCCTAAATAGGATTATGACCACTGACCAAACTATGCCTTTTCGCTTTGGAAAAGTTCAGAAACTACCGCACCATTGCTTGTAGGGCAAAATGGAGCCCCATCGAAATTTAAGAAACTTTACTTACACGTCATTGCTTCTTCCCTCTCATTTCTAGACTGAATTATTTAACTTTTTCTTATTGTTTAATATATATGTTATTGTTGGAAATTATATTATTGTAAAATAAAATGTTAGTATGAAAATAAATTAATTAAAATAAAAAATAATTATAATTGAGTCGTGACAAAAATTATTGTCTTACAAGTAAAATTGTATTGGTTGGTATAATCCTTGGAATAGATAATGTCCTCTAAATTTAATGCACTCTTTCAGTATGTATACACCCAAAATCTAAGGTGATAGTCAAATTGGTGCAATAACCTTTGAGTTTTCTTATTCTAAGCTTAAAATTCTGAATTTTCTCTAAAAATAAGATTGTGTGTGTGATACGTGTCAAAGACATAATTGTTTTAAACCTCAAACGATCGACAATAATAGATCAACTTTTTTTGGATTTGCGAAAATGACCAACAAAATCGCAATGCGATATCTAATTCGCGTTGCGATAGTCTACAATGTCGTTGCGATTTTCCAAATTCGTTGCGATAGTTTAAAAAAAAAGATTTTGTTTCTTAAGAATTTTCTCTAAAAAGATAGTATCCGCACGGACGTGTCGAAGACACGTATTACCATTGCCATTACCACGACCACGACCACGACCCCGACCCCGACCCGACCCGACCCGAGACGGACGGCGACGGCGGCGCGCGAGAGTCCCCCTTGTTCTCTATCACTCAACAAGGAAGTGGGAAAGCCAAGCCTTAAATACAATTCCCAATAGTGTTTCCAATACTATGTGGGATTTGAGCATTACCAACACTTGTTCCCAATACTATGTGGGATTGAGCCTTAAATAGTGATATTATTTTTGAATGTTTTGCTTAAAATTGCAATAATCGCGATTGTTTGTAGATTGACTTTTAATTATGACATATTTAATCGTATAATACTAATGCAATTGGTTGCTGATTCAGTTGTTTTAAGGTGCATGATTGTTAATTGTTTCCTGAATAATCACATTGTATTGGAAACAAGTGTTGGTAATGCTCAATCCCACATAGTATTGGAAACACTATTGAGAATGGTATTTAAGGCTTGGCTTTCTCACTTCCTTGTTGAGTGATAGAGAACAAGGGGGACTCTCGCGTGCCGCCGCCGCTGTCTGTCTCGTGGTCGTGGTCGTGGTAATACGTGTCTTCGACACGTTCGCGTGGATACTATCTTTTTATAGAAAATTCTTAAGAAACAAATTTTTTTTTAACTATCACAACGAATATATGCATCACAAAGTTATAACACACAAACACATATATGCATCACAAGGTAAGAACCCTTTCTGTTGGTTGTAGTTAGTGAAGTGGACTGGACTTATGCCCATTGCCCAGCAGTAGTCTTGACCATGTGACTAAGACCTTGAATTTGATTAATTTACAATTAATATTTATTCAAATAATTGCATAATATAATATAAAGTAGGCATCGCATAATTGCCAAAGTCAACTTAAGAAACTAACTTATGAAAGTTCATGACTTTTTCAAACAAATATCAATACAATATATGAAGCTTTTTATAAAAAGTAATAATTAAAAAAGAAAATAGTGAATTATTTTCAATGAACTGATTACTGGTTGATGAATCAGTCTGCTTGAAAGGATCAAGCAACGAGTTAGAGCTTTCACATTTCAATATGAAATGCTTTGGGGTGCTTTAGTGGTTTGGTCAGCCTTTGCAATTTTATTTTATTTTACGACCATAATTAAATAAATGAAATATTGGTTTATTAAAAAATAAAATTTTTTGGTCGATTAATACATATCAGATTATAGGTGCTTATTGTTGGGGAGATCTTCCTCCAGTTTATTTCATTTACAAAATCAAAATTCAAACTAAAAAATTATTTAAAGAATATAATATCTCTTCACACTAAGCTAATTTGTAGTTTATAATAAATTAAAGTTGATAATATCAATTTAATTACTATTATTCATGTGATAACATATTTTTTCAAACAATTTTTAATATTTAGTTATCATGTAAATTTATTAGTATTTTTAAATATAACTAATTAAATGTTCACATGATTTGATTATATGATAAAAATAATAAATGAAATTATCACATTATCCGTTACAATTAACCATGATACTAATTTGAACCTACAAATATATTTAGTTATCATGTATAGTGAATATATTGGAAACTGTAAAGGTGTTTAAGCTTTCATTATTAAATAGTTAAGAATTTTTAGAACATGTATTACTTTTAATTACCTTAGATTAATAAAAAAAAGTGAATATATTAAATTAAAATTTGAGCACAATAGAGGGATTAAAATCAGAATCAGACCAAAAATTATCACCGAAGAGGTGATAGTATTGTTTCTAGAAAAATTGTTATATGTAAGGGGGCAAAATGGGGAAAGCAGAGGGCAAAAGGAAAGCATGTGTGACGTAGGAAAGACATCAAAGGTCTCTCCCACGTGCCGGGTGAGGTCGTCGGCTACGGTCAAATACCGGGACGAACAATGACACGTGTACGACTAATACTCAATCATTGTCAAGACTTCTTCAAGTTTGAACGTCTGACTGCTTTTTTGTGTGGTCTCATCTCTCGGCCTCTTCAATTTTCTTCATCATCTTCCACACGCTACCTTCTACCGCTTTTACCCCTATCTTATCTTTCTTTTTACTAAGTAAATTAACACAAAAATCCAAATTATATCACATTAAGTACATATTAGTAAGGATAGACATGGACTTGAACCAATTTTCGACTTACTTTTTGTAAAACAAATTAAATTTAAGTTTAATTTTTAGATAATGAGATCGAGTCCAATTCAAATTAATAATAAAAAATATTTTATATGATTTATGATAATAGTATAATTATTGCTTATGAATAATCGTAATAACTTCTCTATATTTTTTTAATTAGATATCCTTTTACCAAATAAAAAAATTATATATATAGAATTAGATCAAATTAAATTAGATTTTTACTTTAAATGACATATTGATGATATAAAATTTAAGTAGAATTTTTTTTGGTACATAAAAGTTTAAGTCAGGGGTGGCTCCCCAATTCAGGGTCAGGGTATACCAAAGACCCAATTGGGATTTACATAGGACTTTACAAATTACCTACCAAGAGTGGCGGTAGTGGGATTCGAACTTGACCTTACAAACTCAAATTTCTGAATTCTAACCACTTGTGCCAACACTAATGGGCAATTTAAGTAGAATTTAGATAAGGCAAAAGCTTGTCTCAAACCATGCCCATTTTTATATATAAATAGTGTTTGCGGCTTCATTATTTTTTTTGTTTTTCCTTTTATTAATTTTAAGTTTAAATTATTTTTTTACACAAAAAATATTACATGGTTTGTTAATCTGGTGCCACAAGAGAATATATTTTTCATAATTTATTGAATTACAACTGAAAACATGAATTTATTAATTATAAGCACAGTGAAATATTCAAGCATTTAATTTAAAGGAAAAAACATATCCACTAACAGCTCTATCCTTATTGTAATTTTTTTCTTCACCCATATGTGTCAAATTCTTTTCGTACATCACAGTACCAGAAGCCACCGTGTGTTCTTCCTATTGGAAGGCTGTTTTTGTTGATGTCACCCTACTTTATAAAGCGGCGAAATAAACCCAAAGTCACATTCAAAGCTAAACCCTCTCTATTTCCATGTCTTCTTCGTCATCATATATATATATATATATATATATATATATATATATATATATAGCTCAAACAACATGATATAGAGATGCCATGAAACCCTCCTCAAGAACTTTAACCTCACTTAGTTTGATCTCTCTCCATGTCGGATCAAGAATTTAGAGACTTTTACTACCATGCAAGCACTACCTTCAACGACGATCAACATCTTGAATCCGACATGTTTAGGGTTTCATCGGCTGGTCATCCTTCTTCATACATGAACTTCATTGACCGGTTCAACGGTTCGATGGACGATTACGGTCTACTCGAAAAGGCCTTCAGGTTGTCATCGGAAGTGTTTACTCCTAATCCTTCCATTTATTCTTCCTCAAGCGAGGCCGTCGGTAATTGTGAAGAAGATTCAGACAATAATAAGAACAAGCAGCCGAAAGAGTCGGACGATGGAGGCAAAGAAAGCCCTAAGAAAGGGTAATTACAAATTAACTAAGTTCCCCCCCCCCCTCAATTTTTCTTTAATCTCTGGAGATAAATTAGATATTGTATCTGTGGACTGTGATAGGAACAAAGCAGCTAGAAAGAAAGAAGAAAGGAAGCAGAAGGAACCACGATTTGCTTTCATGACTAGAAGTGAAGTTGATCATCTCGAAGATGGATACAGATGGAGAAAATATGGACAAAAAGCTGTGAAGAACAGCCCTTATCCAAGGTTTGGTTTCTTTTACCTTTCTTAGTATCACAACCAAACAAATATTCTTATCTTAAAGGACATGCAAAAACCATGTCTGAAACCTGGTTATGTGTTTGGTCTGTGCTTGGCTGCTTGCATACCATCCTTTCGCCCCTTTCTTTGACTTCCAAGATGAATTTTACTTATATGAAACTTAAGCCGAAAGTAATTACTAATTAATGACCTGATTTATCATTGCAGAAGCTATTATCGGTGCACTACTCAGAAGTGTACGGTCAAGAAAAGGGTAGAGAGGTCGTACCAGGACCCATCCACAGTGATCACGACGTACGAAGGCCAACACAACCACCCGCTTCCTACATCGCTGAGAGGGAACACGGCGACGCTTCTCCAGGCTTCGATGTTTCCGCTGGCGGGGACGACGAGCTTACCGCACGAATTGTTCAAGCAGATGACAGCGCCTCATCACATGAATAACCAAGCTTGTGCAGAAAACTTTAGCCCTTTCCAGCAGTACTACCAGCATCATGTACCTGACTATGGGCTTCTTCAAGACATGGTTCCTTCCATGTTCCTTAAGCAAGAACCATGAATCTCTTTCTTTTATATATATATATATATATATATATATGAGTATTGTAGTATCATCTAACCCGAATCATTCTTCGGTTACTGGTTTTAATAGGTATATAACATCATGGACTAGATGGGATCAGTGGGAATGTCTTTTTTCGTCTTTGTATTTGATGATGCATATATATGTAGTTTTTTTGAAGCAAAATCCTACTACAAAGGATTGAGGACTTGATGCAGGGGAATCCGAGACAGATGATGCTGAGCTGTCAGATTGCACGTTGATGGCGCTGAGATACCATGAGTTGGCAGATCAGCGCAAAGGCGGGAATTGATTGTGACATGTTCCTCATTGGGGTCGTTTCTGATGCAGGGGGATCCGAGACAGATGATGCTGAGCTGTCAGATTGCACGTTGATGGCGCTGAGATACCATGAGTTGGCAGATCAGCGCAAAGGCGGGAATTGATTGTGACATGTTCCTCATTGGGGTCGTTTTGAGTATGTTTCAGTCTTTTGGCCATAACTTTGGCTACAGGTGTCAGAATCGCGCATAAGACCCCAATCCGAAAAGCTCTTTTCGACGCCCACGCTCTCCTACGCTCCATGTGGCCTTTTTTTCAACCTCAAATTCTGCCGTTTTCCCCTCCGAATCACTAGATTTAGTTATTTTTTACTATTTATGGTAATATTTCGATTGTTAATTAGGAAGTCATTTTAAATCTGATTTAGGCTGGATTTTTGGGAGATTGCTTATTTTATTTCGAATTTCAATTTAGAGTGATTTTCGGGATTTTGCTATTTTTGGCAAAATTCGAATAAAGACGATTTTTGGCTATAACAGTCCGGCTTGTGGACTGCTTTTTGGAATTGTTTGATTTTATAATATTTTATTAAACCCTAGAGACTTTTTTTTCTCTGGTTTTTTGGGCGAATTTTCTCTTGTGAATCGTCTGTCGGAGCTAGCCTACAGGATAATCACTATTATGTCTGGCATCAGTTGGTATCAGAGCTTCAACATCTTCTTGGGAAATTTCACCAGTTTCAATGGCTGGAGGTCGTGGTCGTGGTTGTCGTGAGCAGGTTCCGAATGAGGAAGCTCAACGCCGTGATCGCAGCGTTCAGGATGTGATGATTGCGGATTTGCAGAGGCAAGTCGCAGAATTAACCCAGCGTCTGGCGGCGCAGGATTTCGAGGATCGTGAGGCCTCTGATCACGATACCAATTCCACTTTCGAAAACCCATATCACAATCGCGCAAGATTTCGGGGCGCAGGATTTCGGGAGCACCGTGGTCGGGAGGAGCGTCATAGAGACCTTGGTTTTCGGGTCGATCTCCCTGAGTTTTCTGGTACGTTACAGGCCGAGGGATTCGTGGATTGGATTAATGAAGTGGAGCGTATTTTTGAATATAAGGAAGTCACCGATCGTGTGAAAGTGAAACTGATCGCCATCAAACTCAAGGGCAGAGCATCTGCGTGGTGGGAACAGTTACGACGTTCACGAGAAAGACAGGGCAAAGCCAAGATCACTGATTGGGAGAAGATGAAAAAGAAGATGAAGGGCCACTTCCTTCCCTTCGGCTACACGCAAACCTTATTTCAGCGACTTCATGCGTTGAGGCAGGGCGCGCGATCAGTCGATGATTACACGGAGGAGTTTTACCAATTGGTCGCCCGGAACGATTTATCTGAGACGGAGGAGCAGATGGTGGCGCGATATTTGGGGGGCTTACGCCAGCCCTTGCAAGATGTCCTCAGCCTTCATTCATTATGGAGTGTTTCGGAAGCATACCAGCGTGCACTTGCTGTTGAAAAACAGCAAAACAGGAGACCAGTGATCAGGAGCGATCACAACAGTCGACCAGTTCGCCCTCAAGAGTCCCGTCCTGCTCAGCAGCCACCGCAGGGTAATTCTAACCCTACTATTAGATGTTTTCGTTGCAGTGAACAAGGGCATAGGGCGACTGATTGCAGGAAGCCTGCTAGTCAAAAGGGCAAAAATTTGTTGATTGAGGAAAACGTGGAAGACGAGACTGAGGAGATTGGCGAACCCGTGTATGACGATGATGAGACTGATGATGTGTTGTATGGAGATGGTCATGAGACTCTGGTCGTTCGCAAGAGTCTACTTACCCCCAAGGGCGATTCAGGGGACGATTGGTTGAGAACCAATATTTTCCACACGACTTGCACAGTTGCAGATAAAGTCTGCAAAATGATCATTGACAGCGGCAGTTGTGAGAATGTAGTGTCCGAGGAGGTTGTCCAGAAATTGCAGTTGAAGACGGACCGTCATCCTAAGCCATACAAGTTGTCATGGCTAAATAAAGACAGTGAGGTAACAGTTGATAGGCGATGCCTCGTGTCTTTTTCAATTGGTAGAAAATATTTTGATAATGCCTGGTGTGATGTTGTGTCTATGGATGCGTGTCATATATTGTTGGGTCGACCTTGGCAGTATGATCGCAGTGTCATTCATGATGGACGGAAGAATACATATTCTCTTAGCATCAAGGGAAAAAAGATTGTGTTGGCACCCCGGCGGGAAGGACTTACTCCTACCCCAGTAACCCATAATACTAATCTGCTTTCTATGTCCAGGTTTTTAGATGAGATTGAGCATGGCGGAGTGGTCTATGCCTTGCTACCTTGCGAGAACAATGCAGTAGACGTGGATACAGATTTACCAGTAGAGGTGCAGCGACTGCTAGCAGAATTCTCTAACTTGATGCCAGAGGATCTTCCTCCTGGACTACCACCTATGAGGCATATTCAGCATCAAATTGACCTTGTTCCTGGGTCAAGTTTGCCAAATCGACCAGCATATCACCTCAGTCCCAAGGAGGCCGAAGAGTTGCAGCGACAAGTGGAAGAGTTGTTGGAGAGGGGCTATATCCGAGAGAGTATGAGCCCATGTGCAGTCCCTGCTCTGTTAGTGCCAAAGAAAGATGGTTCTTGGCGTATGTGTGTTGAAAGCCGAGCGATCAACAGAATTACAGTGAAGTATCGGTTTCCAATTCCCCGTCTAGATGATATGTTGGATCAGCTATCTGGTTCTAAGATCTTCTCAAAAATTGACCTTAAGAGCGGTTACCACCAAATCAGAATAAGGCCTGGAGATGAGTGGAAGACGGTATTTAAAACGCCACAAGGGTTGTATGAGTGGATGGTCATGCCTTTTGGGTTATCCAATGCGCCCAGTACATTCATGAGATTTATGCATCAGGTCTTGCGGCCTTTTATGGGGAAATTTGTTGTAGTTTACTTCGATGATATCCTCGTTTATAGTCCGACATGGACTTCACACTTCGATCACCTCCATGCTGTTTTTGAGATGCTGAAAACGGAGTGCTTGTTTGTCAATCAAAAGGAGTGTTCTTTCTTCACTACTTCTGTGACTTTTCTTGGTTTTGTTGTGTCTACTGATGGTGTTCATGCAGATCAGTCAAAGATAGATGCAGTCTTGGAGTGGCCCAGACCAAGAACCTTACATGACATCCGAAGTTTCCATGGCTTGGCATCTTTTTACCGTCAATTCATTAGAAATTTCAGTACTCTGATCGCCCCTATCACAGAGTGCCTCAAGGGGCGTGATTTCCAGTGGTCTAAGGAGGCAGAGGCCAGTTTTCAACTGGTCAAGCAGAAGATGACCGAGGCTCCAGTTTTGGCACTTCCAGATTTTGACAAAGTGTTCGAGGTAAATTGTGATGCATTTGGCGTTGGCATTGGTGGTGTTCTGAGTCAGGCAGGTCGTCCGGTTGCTTTTTTCAGTGAGAAGCTATCGGGATCAAAGAAAAATTATTCCACTTATGATCTGGAGTTCTATGCCATAGTTCAGTCCCTGAAGCATTGGCGTCACTACCTAGTACAGAAGGAGTTTATTCTGTTTACCGATCATGAGGCCTTGAAGTACATCAATGGCCAACACAAGCTGAGTAGACGTCATGCCAAGTGGGTAGAATACTTGCAAGAATTCACTTTTACGCTGAGGCACCAAGCAGGGAGTTTGAACCGCGTCGCATATGTCCTGAGCCGTCATACCTTACTTCTCACCACCATGAGTACTAAAGTTGCAGGATTTGAGACGTTCACAGATATGCATGCAGCTGATCCTTCCTTTGGAAGGATATTTCAGGAGGTAACTGAGGGTCACCGTCATGATTTTGTTTTGCATAATGGGTATATGTTTCGTGGATTACAATTGTGCATTCCAGATTGTTCATTGAGGCAACAAATTATAAGTGAACTCCATAATGAGGGACACTTTGGCCGAGATAAGACATTGGCCCTTATCTCTTCTGAATTTTATTGGCCCAAGTTGACTAGTGATGTGGCCCATTATGTGGACCGTTGTTATGTGTGCCAGCGGTCTAAGGGAGTTCTCACCAATGCGGGATTGTACACTCCCTTACCTGTTCCTGAAGCTCCTTGGTTCGATGTCAGCATGGATTTTGTACTAGGCTTACCTCGCACCCAAAGGGCCTCTGATTCTATCTTTGTTGTGGTTGACAGGTTTTCCAAGATGGCTCATTTTGTAGCTTGCAGAAAGACTATGGTTGACAGGTTTTCCAAAATGGCTTATCTCATTTTGTAGCTTGCAGAAAGACTATGGATCGAGGAACACCATCACTTCAGATCGTGATACTAAGTTCATCAGCCATTTCTGGAAGAGCCTGTGGGGGAAACTGGGAACGCAGTTGAATTTCAGTAGCGCCTACCACCCCCAGACGGATGGCCAGACTGAGGTGGTGAACCGAAGTTTGGGAAACCTTTTAAGGTGTTTAGCAGGAACGAAGCCGAAGCAGTGGGATTTGGCATTGCCTCAGGCAGAATTTTCCTACAACAGATCAAAAAATAGAACCACAGGTTTAAGCCCATTTGAGATTGTCTATGGTCAGAACCCATCCGGGGTGTTGGACTTAGCCCCTATTCCACGTATAGGACGTTTCAGTCCTAAAGCAGATGAGATGGCAAAGTATATTCGGGGTATCCATGAGCAGGTGAAACAGACCATTCATGAGAGCAATACCAAGTACAAGACTC